TTTTGATTACTTTCTGTAAGTACGGAGGCAGCCTGTGGAATATAAATGTACCCATTTACTCCATAATTTACACCTCTCTCTCTCTTCCTCTTTCTCTCCCTCTCCTCCCCCCTCCCTCCTTCCCTCCCTCCCTCCCCCCCCTCTCTCTCCACATCCCCACCAACACTTGCTCCCCATGGGTGCCCTTGGAGGCCTTTCTCTGTGCTTTCCCTGCTGTCCCTGCCTCGATGAGCTTCTCTGAAGAAGTGGCTTAGTGGCTTGGTTTCACAGTGGTCTACACAGTCATGGGTGCTGGCTACTCTCTGACCTCCCCTCGCCTTTCCCTGGGGGGAAATCCTAGCCTACTAGGCTCTCTTGGCACTGAGAGTTCAAGGCTGTCTAGGGGCAAGAATGGTGGAGGAAGGAGAAATTGTGCCTTTTGCCCCTTTCAATCTATCCAATCTCAAGTTGTCTGAATTGGTGGTCTTGGGGAGAAAGACAAAGACGCCCTTCCAGTACCGCTATGATGACATCACTATCCTGACTTCCCATGTCATAGTGGAGGCTTTATTATTTGATTCTCCAGGGTCTAGGGTGGTAGCTGTGAAGGGGGGGGTGCTCTGTGCTTTGCTGTGACTACTAGTCAGGACTGAGATTCTCTGAACTTACACTGGCTTATAGATTTTGACCTGGCATACATGAAAATGAGTCAGTGAATAAGACCCTTGCCTTGCATGTGACTGACTCAGGTTTGATCCCCAGTCCATATGATTGTCCCCTGCAACTCCACCCTGGCTGACAGGAGTGATCTTGAGCACAGAATCAGGAATAAACCCTGAGCATCACCTGGGTGATACTCCCCCCGCCCCCCCCCCAAAAAAAAAGGTAACTTCTATGTTTATAGGTTTCTGTTTAAGTTTTTAAATTTTTTTCTTTTTGGTCTGTACCTGGAGGTGCACAGTTTCTTCCTGAATCTGTGTTCAGGGGTTACCCTGGTGGGGATCAGGGACCATAGATGATGATGCTGGGGATCAATCCTGGGTTGGTGTGTTCAAGGCAAAAGCTCTACCTTCTGTATTCTCACTCATCCATAGTTGTATTTTATTTTAAACTTATCTTTAGAGTCTGGAATCAAACTGAGGGCCTCAGGCATATCCACCCAACTCAGTTCTAACGCCCTGTAGCACAGTAATTATTTTCTGCTGTCTCAGGCCAGCGAGTTCTAACTATGAACCCTTATTCACGGAATCATTTTCATGTATACCAGGTCAAAATCTATAAACCAGAGCAGGGGCCTTCTCACCGCTCCGAAGGCTGAGAGCAGGGTGCCAGCAGGGCCAGCTGCTCAAGAGGGCCCTCACCAACTCCTGCCTGCTATTTTCATCAGTTTCCTTCATTATTATTCATTTTGTTTTTTTTATATAACTTTTTTTTTCTTTTTGGGTCACACCCAGCAATGCACAGGGGTTACTCCTGACTCATGCACTCAGGAATTACTCCTCCTGGAGGTGCTGGGAATTGAACCTGGGTTGGCCTCATGCAAGGCAAACGCCCTACCTGCTGTGTTATCACTCCAGCCCCCTATAACGTCTTCTTGTGCCAGATCTGTTCCAGATTATTGGGAAACAGACTAGCGCCTCTCAAGCTGTCTGTGGTGAAAGGTTTTTTTTTTTTTTCCCCAACCAGTAAGGGAGGGGATCTGTTGTGAAATAGAGTGAAAATCAATGATTAAACAAAGAAAAGGTGATGGGGCATACAAAACACAAGCCCCAGTTTTTCCTCATCATGGGAAATAAGTAGGAAATAATTCATCTGATTGCTATAAAAGTTTCTCAAGTCCTCCCAGGGACATTTGAAAACTGTCCCCTACTTGAGAAGTGTGATTCCAGAAGAAGCAGACAGAACAGGGAGTGTATATGTGGGCCTCAGAGTGGGAGCCGGGAAGGCAGAAAAGGAAGAGTTTGGGGTTGGGCAGCCCAAGAGATGGTGCAGGGCTTAGGGTGCTTGTCTCGCATGTAGCTCTGATTCAATGACTGGCACTGTATTTGGCTCCCTGTGCATCACCAGTGGTCACTCCTGGCCACAGAGCCAGGAATAGCCTCTGAGCACTGCTCAGTGTGCTCCCAAAACAAAAATAGAGTTTCGAGCTGGATGAAGCTCAGTGGTAAAGACCATTTGATTTTCGTGATTGAGGCCCTGGATTCAACCTCCAGCACTGCAGAAGAAAAATAAAAGAGGGTTAGAGAGTATAGTGGGTAGGGCACTTGCCTTGCACGCGGCCAATTCAATCCTTGGTACCCCATATGGTCTCACCCTGAGTGCAGAGCCTGGAGTAATCCCTGAGCAATGCCAGGTGTGGCTCCCTCCAAAACAAATAAACAAACGAGTTATTTATTATTTTGTGTGTGGGGGGTGGGGTGGGGTGGGGGTTGGGCCATATCTGGCTCTGCTCAGGGCTTTCTGGCTCTGTGCTTAGTGGTCACTCCTGAAGGGGATTGGCTGTGTGCAAGGCAAGGCCTTATCGACTGAACTAACTCTCTGGCCCCTGAAAAAGGAAAAGTTGTAAGTCAGTCAGTAACAACCCTATTGTCAATTAAAACAACCAGTCAGCTGTTTTAAGATGTTGATGTAACCCCAGGCAGTGGGAGCACAGGGGAAGCACCTAAACTAGGCCAGCTTTCAGGGAAACCCACCTCACCTGTAGGATGAGCAAGGGAGGAAGGAGTTAGGCTAGGGGCACCCTTGATGAGTAGGAGGGTTCTCCTGGCTGAGAAACTAGGTCCGGAAGCAGGTCAGGGCATTCCTCTCCTATGACGTGATGAACCTTTTGGCATCAGCACGAGCTTCTCCAATCATCTGGTCTTAAATGATAAGAGAGAATCTGCAACAAAGCCTGTGCCTGGTACCTTTATGTTTGTGTGTGAGATACAGGAATGGGAGAAGCACTCAGGGGTAGCTCTTATGGTGGGGGGGATACCTCACCCCAGGATGACCTGCTGTCTCAGGAGCAGTGAGCGCATGGAGTCCAGATTCTCTGGAGCAGTGCATGCGTAAGATGAAGTTTAAGGTTGGGGCAAGAACCAGGATCCCCAGCGTAAGTGACTTTTTCTCTCTCAAGCCCCTGGTGTCCCAGAGTCCACAATAAACACAATCCAGGCTTTGCTGGGGAGGGGTGGGGCTGGCTCGGTGGGTTCATGCTCTGCCCCAAGGCAAGGGTTGGTGAACAAAGACTTTGAGGAAACAACTTCTACAGGACAAAGTTAATCCTCTTCCGTTCTGGTGGCTAATGAAGAAAGCGAGAAGGAAGTGAGAGAGAGTCACAGATTCCAGAATCTCAGAATCAGACGGTGCGTAGCGGAGGAGGGCACTGTGAGAATGCTCCCGGCCTCAAGTTCTCCTAGAGATGGGCTCCAACTGATTCCTGTGCTTCATCTAAGAGCCACTCCTGGGAGCGGCTTCCTGGAGATTAGAACTTCCTGCTCGGCTCAGAAAGAGGAAGTGGTCCAGAGATGGTGTTGAGTGTTGCGTAGACCTGGTCTAATTCTTCAGTCTCTACTTGAGCATATTTACCAGACATCTGAAAAATAAAGAAGAAAGCACACACATGGGATTCTGATTTTCTCGCACCACTCCATGGCACCCAAGGGCGTAATCATCATTCAGGCAGTGGCTCAAAGCAATAACCCAGGAGCCTGTTGGTGTTTCTCTTCTTCCAGACTGGTCCCTTCTAATTCTAATTAAGTCTCTGATCTCCACTAATACCCACCACCTGGCACCAACATCTGTCCTTCAGCTTGCCGAGGGCTTCTCCACTACCGTCTCTTTCTATATAATCCACGAGCCTCCAAGAAGCCCACTGATAATTTTACTTTTTATTGCCCCCTCCCATGATCGTTTTTAAACCTAGATCTCACCAGTTCTCTGCATAGATTTCGTCAGAGGTTCCCCCTTCAACCTAGGGAAAAACCTAGGCTGCTTTCCATGCGCCCCAAGACCCAGCTGCGCCATTCTGCAATCTTCCTTGGCTTACCTGGCGAGGCCAGCTGGCTGTTCATCCTGACCCCCCTAGTCTAGCAAATCAAGCTCCTCCTCGCCTAAGGATGCCACCCCAGCCCCCTCCCATTTTGGACTGCTTCCAGGACTTTGCAAATTTACTCTCGGCTCATCTTCTCCGGTTTTGTTTTTTCTCTTCATGGCACCCCCAGCCCCAAAAGCCTAACAATGACTGGTGACAGTATTTAGTCACCTGTTTGTTAAGGAGGAAAGTTCCATGAGAGAAAGGAGACTTCTTTTTTTCTTTTTTTGCTTTTTGGGTAACATCCACCGATCTTGGCTCTGCACTCAGGAATTCCTTCTGGCGGTGCTTGGGGGACCACATGCGACGCTGGGGATTGAACCTGGGTCCGCCGTGTGCAAGGCAAATGCCCTACCCACTGTACTATCTCTCCGGTCGAGAAAAAAGACTTTTCGTTGACCATGGTTCCAAAACACAGTCCCCCTCCTACCCCAAAGTGGACACGCCATGATTATCATAGCATGAAGATCTGGTGGCACCCAGTTTCCCACATTGGGCTCAAGGGACAGAGGGACAGCAGCTAGCAGTGGCCATCCAGGCCTCCAGGGACAAGGGGCCCGGGATCGGTGGGTGTCGGTGGGCTTCTTCCATCTACAGAGGCCACATACTCCTGTCTCTCACTCTCTTCAGTCTCCTGCCTGTCTTTGATCTCGGGTCTGGTTCCCGAGGCCTGACCCAAAACCTCGGAGCCCCCTAACTCGACCAGAGACGCACCACTGAAGCGTGACCAGGACAGGAGGATGGGGCAGGGATAGGACTGGAGGAGTGGTGAAGGTCCTCCAGGGAAGACGACCGGAAGCAGCAGGAGCAGGCTGGGTGGGGCAGGTGGGTGCGGCCCGTGGCTCCGCCCCCCGGCGCTGCGGGATACGGTGATTGTGGCGTGGTGGGGTGGCGCGCCACGTGGGCCCTGCTCTCACCTGGACGCGGCCTGCGAGCGCCGCTGGAGATGGAGCAGGAGGCCCAGCTGCTCCGGCGCCAGTGCTCCTGGCAGGCGGCTCGGCGCCTGGTCGCAGAGGTGAGTGGGGCCGGGAGCCGGGAGAGGAGGGAGACGACTGAGCGGAGATCTGGGAGGGCTTAAAAAGAAAGGTGGAGATTCTAGACCTGTGCTTGCCTGACGATTCCAGGTGACTTGGGGAGAAGGGCCTGGGTACCGGGGAGAGAAGACTGACTTAGGAAGTCAGTGGGGAAGCGGGTGCGAGGGGGAAATGGAATATTTAGTGGAGCCCAACCAAGTCGGAGGCCATGGCCAGGCCTCCAAAGTCAACGATGTGTTCGCCTCCTGACACGTACCATCTTGTTACTAAATAGTAGGACATGCGCAAATGACTGTAGAGAAGTGTGTGTGTGTGTGTGTGTGTGTGTGTGTGTGTGTTGGGGGGGCTGGAGAAATTGTGCAGGGGGTAGGGCACTTGCCTTGTTCATGGCCCACCAGTGACCAGGTTCCATCCTCTGTACTCTTATGCTGTTCTTAATCCTTCCAAGAGTAATCCCAGAGTACAAAGCCAGGAGTAAACCCTGAGAGGTGTGGTTCAAAAAAAAAAAAAATAAATCAAAAAAGAGAGATGGCCACAGGCCCTAACAACAGAGATTGGAGGAGATGAGAGTCAGCTGAGGATCTGGTCTGGGAACTGAGAACCACTGATTGGCCAGGGCTCTGCAGGTCCTTAGACCAGACATGAGGTGGGCTGCGGGATGCCTCCCCTTGGAGGTGAAAGCTGGAGGAGATGAAAGTCCAGAGAGAACAGAAATGGGGGATAGGGTGTCAGGAACCGCTGGGTACCTTGGGAGTCAGGAACATGTAAGGCTTGACTCGGTTTTAAGATTTCTTGATGATGGAATCAGTTCTATTTGAATCGCTATTTTATGAGTGTTCTGGCACTTGAATTCTGGGTAGAATTCAAGGCAAAGGTCAGAAAGCCATTGGAATGATCCCATCTGGAATGAAAGTAATGGGGAGAGAGGGCTGGAGAGATAGCACAGCGGGTGGACCAACCTGGATTCCATTCTGGCATCCCATATGGTCCCCAGAGCCCCACCAGGAGTGCAGAGCCAGGAGTAACCCCTGAGCGTCGCTGGGTGTGACCCAAAAAGACAACAACAAAAAAAGGAATGAATGAAAGTGGGGAAGAAAGAACTGTGGAGATGGAAGCAAACAAGATTCTAGAGATTTGGAAAGCCCACACAAGAATCGACAATTACTTGGATCTCAGTTGGGCTGGGGGTGAGGTATAGAAGGGGAGCCAGATTTCTGGTGGGGTGTGTGTGTGTGTGTGTGTGTTGTGTTGGTGGTGTTGGGGGATGTGTTGGCTGTATGACCAACTTGACCATCTTTCCAGAGATTTCTGGATTACAGAGTTGGGTGAGAATACTGGAATACTGGTGGAAACCCCCCCCCCCCCCACACACACACGGACGAGAAGGAACAGGATTTAGAGGTCCTTGGACCTTAGAGATGGGTTGCAGGTGGGTATAAAGATCTTTTTTTTTGCTTTTGGGGTCACACCTGGTGATGCACAGGGGTTACTCCTGGCTCTGCACTCAGGAGTTACTCCTGGCAGTGCTCAGGGGACCATATGGGATGCTGCGAATCGAACCCAGGTCTGCCGTGTGCAAGGCAAACGCCCTACCCCCTGGGTGTAAAGATCTTTTGAAGTGCCTGTGAGCTATTCACATTTTGAGCTTTGGCTACTGGAGGATTCTGCAGAGGTATGCCTGGGAGCTATTGCTTAAGGATAATTGAATTATAAATGGCAAGGAATTATTTGCATGAGAAAGATTGCCCCAAAGGTCGAGTTAAGGAAACCAATAAAACTGAAGGAGACATGGAGATGAAGATGTACATGCTTGGGAAGCTCGGAATGTTGCTTGTTTCCTTTTTGTGAAACGTTAAAATAAGATTCTGGTGAAATCTACACCCTATGAAAATATTGAAACCACCTTGTAGTGGTGAAGTGTGAAGGTTGGTGGTATTAAGCACAACCACGGCCTGTGCCACTATCATCAGATCTAGGACTTGCTTTCACTTTGAAAGGAAACTTTCCTTAACCTAGAAACAGCTGTTCCCCAGTATTCCCATGCCAGGCTGTGACAGTCATCTTTCTATTTTGACTTTTTTCTGGTTTGTTCTGTTTGTTTTGGGCCCCACCCAGCGGGACCTGAGGGTTTACTCCTGGCTCTGCCTTCAGGGACTTCTGTGGGGATTATATATGGTAGTACCAGTAATTGAACCAGGGTTGGTGGTATGCAAATGCTAGCACCTTACCACTGTACTGTCTCGACAATCTTTCTACTAAGAGTTTTATCTTAAAATTATAATTTAGTTTTTGGGTTACTTCTGGCTGTGCTAAGGGACCTTTTTATTGGTGCTGCAAATTGAACTCAGAGACTCACACATGCAAGGGAAATGTTCTGTCACTGAGCCACACCCCCAGTCCTCTTGTTGGGTTTCTGAGCTATCTTGACTTGGCTTTTGTATGTGTTCTTAAGGGTTGCAGTGCATATATCCAGTTATTCAGCATCACTTGAAGACTGTCCTCTTCAACTGAATGGTCTTATTCTTAACCCCTGTTCCTTTCCGCTGGTCAACTATTTTGTTATTTTCATTTTGTTTTTTGTTTGGTTCATACCACCTGACTACTCTGTGACTCTTGACTCTGCTCAGGGATCACTCTTGCAAGTATACATGGGAAGATGTGTGGTGCCAGGGATCAAACCCAGATTGGCTGCATGCAAGACAAATGCCTTATCTACTCATCTCTCTGACCTCAATTCTATCCCTAATGTTAATACCACACTATTTTGATTACTGGAGTTTCGAAGTAAGGTAAAGATAAAGGCCCTCCCGTTGTTCATCGATTTGCTCAAGCGGGCCCAGTAACGTCTCCGTTGGAGACTTTGTTGTTACTGTGTTTGGCATATCGAATACGTCATGGGGAGCTTGCCAGGCTCTGCCGTGCGGGCGAGATACTCTCGGTAGCTTGCTGAGCTCTCCGAGAGGGGCGGAGGAATCGAACTCGGGTCGGCCATGTTGGCTGCGTGCAAGGCAAATGCCCTACCGCTGTGCTATCGCTCATAAGAAGTGTATATTTTCTTGGGGCTGGAGCGATAGTACAGTGGGTAGGGCGTTTGCCTTGCATGCAGCCGACCTGGGTTTGATTCCCAGCATCCCATATGGTCCCCTGAGCACCGCCAGGAGTAATTCCTGAGTGCATGAGCCCAGAGTAACCCCTGAGCATCACCGGGTGTGACCCAAGAAGTCAAAAAAAAGTGTATATTTTCCAATTTGTTATTGTTTTTGGGCCACACCCAGCAGTGCTCAGGAGTTACTCCTGGCTCTGCACTCAGAATCACTCCTGGCAGTGCTTGGGGTACCGTATGAGGTGCTGGGTATTGAACCTGAGTTGGCTGCATGCAAGGCAAGTGACCTACCTGCTGTATTATTGTTCTAGAGTGTCCAACCCTACAATTATTTTCAAGATTATTATTTTTTAATAGAAATAAAGTAATTTTATTTAAATAAATTTAGAGAAATGTGATGAAGAGGAGGAGAAAGAGAGAGAGTTTATGTTCAAAACATTATGTCCCAAGCTCCTACTTTGTTGTCCCTTAAGATAAATACGAGGGCCAGAGCAATAGTACGGGGGTAGGGCATTTGCCTTGAACGCAACGGACCCAGGTTCAATTCCTGGCATCCCATATGGTCCCCCGAGCACTGCCAGCAGTAATTCTGAGTGCAGAGCCAGGAATAACCCCTGAGCATCTACAATGTAACCACCAAAGTAAAAAAAATTAAATATGAATTTTATAGTAGATTTGAATTTTTTTGCAAAGTTTATATATGTACATATTGATAGGAATTGTATTGATGTGTAGATTGTTTTGAGGTAGCATTAACATAATTAAAATTCATCAATGTCTATTTCTATTTTTTAGCAGTATTCTGTAGTTTTCAGTTTTCTTTCTCTGGGGAGGCTTTGGGTTTGGGTGCTACTCCTGGTGGTGCTCAGGGGTTAATGCCAACTCTATGTTCAGTGGTCATTCCTGGCAGTATTTGTTTGGGAGACTGTAGGATAACACTCTTTTGTCCTTCCTCAGGTAGCTTAGGTTTATCGGGTCACACCGATCTAAGGACACTGAACTTGTATTGTAAGCAATGTCCTTTCTGTGTGGACACAGGAAGACAGTTAATATTATGCTTTGTAACTTGGGAGTTGATTGACTCTGAATAATATTTACTCCTGGGCATCTGATTTCTTGACTCAGTTGCCCTTAGTTCCTAGCACCCCAAAAGCAGGGTCCTGACGAGGGACTGAATGGACCCAGGGCAAGCTGTGAGCTACCCTGGCATTGAAATGGGCCAGGCCAAAGAGCCACGATACTCAACTATAAGTTGAGGGCATGATCATGGACAAATGCTGTCATGATCCAAAAGTGAGTAACACGAGACTAGGACCCTGCTGGAGCTAGGAAGATTAACCTGGCCCGAGGACTGTGGAATGTATAGTGAGATGTTCTCAGGGAGAACCAAACTAAGTTTATATCTCTTACTGTGCTTATACAGAATGACATTGCTAGAAATATTAGAAGTAGATTTATTACAACTATTTAAGTAGATTACTAACTGAGGGAAGAACACACCCTTGTTGGGATCCCACCCTTGAGCGGATCTCCTAGTAATTTGGAGTAATCTCTGTAGATGAGATTTTATCCCTGAGTTAATCTCCTGGAGGAGTGGTCTTACCTCTCTCTGTTGATTCGTCAATATTCAACCCACCTTTATGTCACCGCCTTATGTGACTGCTATATAAACTAAGACTGTAAGCTCGGGAGGAAGAGAGTCAGAGCGAGAGGGACTCAAGCTTGAGAGAAAGAACAGCCGTCCTGATCCAGGCCACACACAGGACTCAAGAGCACCGAACATAGGCGGTGAGAAAGAGCCATCCAGTGAGCCCGTGAACACACAACCTTCGCCGTGATAAGATTTTACAGACCACATGAAGTGCCAGGGATAAAACT